CGGCAATTGTTCTTAATAAGCATAATTTTGAATGTTTGTCCCACAATTATCAACCTCGTCCCAATTATTAGAAAAAAAACCCAACAAAATATAGAATTTCCAAAATATCATATTGTAAACACCCCCTCCCCCCGCCAGTTCAGAACACGTTTGGAGAATAGGGACGGAACTATCCGTGTGTGTGTGTGTAGGAGGGGTGACACCCCTGTCTCTATCCCACCGGGTATACCCATACAATTTAGTCAGGCAAATTTTGAAAATATTTGCGTGTCTCAGATTGAGAAGTAATAGTGGGAGGAAAAAGTGGTAGTGAAAAATGCTCCGCTCACCAACAATTTTGGGAAAAGAAATATTAATTAGCGACTGATCAAATGTTCATCCTTCAGGAACGACTTCGGAAACGCCCTTTTGGTCGGGCAAAACAAGCTCACCCCCCTCCCAGCCGTAATACCGAAGTTTCGCCCATGTTGGAGAGCCCCCCTTGTTAACATTCCAGGACTACATCACTGTTTATGCGTGCAGGGGACGATGGAAAGAAAGGTATCACATTGCTAATTATGCTGAAAAAATAAAAATGGTGGCCTTGTAAACACGGAGTGATAGCTTATACTTGTAAATATTGAAATATTTCGAAGCCAGTACTTTGTTTATACAACAACAAAAAGTGGTCAAATCACAGCAAATATAACCAACTGGAGAGCAACTCAGTATCAATGTGTTTGTCAAGCTTGGTGGAATTATGTATATGTCAATACAGTGCCGTGCATGTATATTTACAATGTTCATACCTGCAAGGTTTTTTTTATTATAAAAGCTAGTGTATTTTCCCAATTTAGATTGGATGGGTCATCAAAATTTTTTTGTAAGATTAGATGGGCTTTGAAATTTTTATCTACATCCTAAGATGGGTCACCGAACTTATTGGCAAAATTTGTGATTTACATCCAGCCCACCCTAGCAGTTACTTTATGACCAGTCCCTTAAGGTGTGTGTGGGAGGGGGGGTAGAGGTATACAAATCCGCCGATTTGAAGCAAAATCCGCGATCCGAGCCAAAATATTAGATAAATCGGCAATCTGCTGTATTAATAAGATCCGAAATCCGTGTAAAACATTCGCCAGATCCGAAATCCGGACAATTTTTTCTGTGAAATCCGACGATCCGAAAACCTATTCACCCCCTCCCCCCTTAAGCCGGCTTTTTCTACCAGCAAATTTTCTCCTCCGCAGAGCTGTACGAATTTTTAGCCAAGTTGCGTAATACGGTAGCATGAAGAAACGAATTACGTAGTTGTTAGTCAAAACGCGCTAGGGAAGACGGACGTTGCGCAAGGCTCTGCCATATAATGTTTCCAATATGGCGTCAAATTACATAATATTCCTCATGAATTATTCATCGGATCTTCCACATCTAGATATGAAGTATTTAACCGTGATATAGATCAGATGCACTGCTTAAATTTCCCTTACGATCGTAAAAAATGTTAAAACTACATCGTAAAATAATCCCTGCATTTAAATCTATAGATGTATTAAAACAGATAAGGCCAAATTCAACTTACCCTGGACAACTTAAAAATTGCGAAGAAGTGAAACTTCTAAATCTTCCAAATCGCTGCTTTCCGAGTTGCCTTCTCTTGTCCTATTTCAGCCATACCCGAGAAACGAAAATAGTCCCCGAGAACCGCATATTATTTGGCAGAGTTTTCATTTCATTTCGTCAACCGGACCCTTGTATCTCAAGCTCCCTGTCGCGCACCACTGTGTGTCCTCTACTATCCCTACGTTACCACTATTTCCCAGTAGTATTACGTAATTTGACGAGCTCCTGGTCACGTGGTTTCTAGCGGTTAGCGGTTTAATAGATGTTTAATTTGCGAAAAATACGTTAATATATATAACTATTAACTAGGGTACCTGCAAGGTAGGGATTGCTGCGCGCATTAAAAGCAAATAGAACTACAGTAAACAGCACAAATTATATCAAGCACAGTGATTACTCCCAGCGACTAGTGAGCTGTGAATCGAACTGAGAAGAAGTAAATAGTAATATAATTATATTGAAGTAGCAAAGACCAGGGGTTAAAGGGCAATCAGAGGTGACAGATATTAAACATGTGCGTCTCATTGACATACAGGTAAATTAAGATCAGATTTCATATCAAGTCTGTTTACTGCTAGGCGCATTTACCACATTATATAGACTATATACACAGATTTACAGGGCCGTCGCAGTCAGTAAATACCTAGCTATATGATCGAGTCTTGTGATTGGCCAGTAGATTAAATGGGGTAGTCCGAGGTAGTCACCAATCACAATCAAGCCTTGCCCGTTTTGGGGGGTTTTGCCGCAGGACCGTGTTGCCATGCAGGTTCGCCGCGTGTTTAATACTGCATTTATATAGGATTTATATAGCCAACGCTTTTTGACTGCTGAATTTATACTGTTTTGGACGGCTTTTTGTTGCTGAGAATAAGGAGATATGTGAGTTTTGCTTTTTGGAAACATGGACGGAGAAGAGGTAAATAATCAGTTATAATTGTATTGCTTATATGACAAATTGGATCGTTAGATTCGGCCCATGTATATTCGGCCATATTTGCAATTTCCAATGTATACAGTATAGGATTGTTTCAACATATTGAATCACATCTGTATTACTCATTTTTGGTTTCATATCATGATGTAATGGAGGTTCAGATTCATTATGTAAAATACCTAATCACACACTATCATGCCTATATTTAACCATAGGTTTAGGTAAATAGTGTGTATTATAAATAATCAGTTATAATTGTATTGCTTATATGACAAATTGGATCGTTAGATTCGGCCCATGTATATTCGGCTATATTTGCAATTTCCAATCTATAGACTCTACAGTAATAGGATTGTTTCAACATATGTTTGAATCACACAATGATATACATGGAATCACATCTGTATTACTCATTTTTGGTTTCATATGATAATATATGGCGTCAGACTTCAGAATATTTCGGCCATATTTGCAATTTCCAATGTATACAGTATAGGATTGTTTAAACATATTGAATCACATCTGTATTACTCATTTTTGGTTTCATATCATGATGTAATGGAGGTTCAGATTCATTATGTAAAATACCTAATCACACACTATCATGCCTATATTTAACCATAGGTTTAGGTAAATAGTGTGTATTATAAATAATCAGTTATAATTGTATTGCTTATATGACAAATTGGATCGTTAGATTCGGCCCATGTATATTCGGCTATATTTGCAATTTCCAATCTATAGACTCTACAGTAATAGGATTGTTTCAACATATGTTTGAATCACACAATGATATACATGGAATCACATCTGTATTACTCATTTTTGGTTTCATATGATAATATATGGCGTCAGACTTCAGAATATTTCGGCCATATTTGCAATTTCCAATGTATACAGTATAGGATTGTTTAAACATATTGAATCACATCTGTATTACTCATTTTTGGTTTCATATCATGATGTAATGGAGGTTCAGATTCATTATGTAAAATACCTAATCACACACTATCATGCCTATATTTAACCATACGTTTAGGTAAATAGTGTGTATTATGCACGACCTCTGAAAAACAGACACCTGAAAGGCTACCACCAATTGCCACCGGCATTGTAAAGAGATATAAATTCATCAACATTAAAGGTGATCATGTAAAGTCTGTCCTCGCATACGTTTTGTACAGGCCATTTTATCAATGATCTCCCTTCTCAATTTTCACATTCAGAATCCACAATGTTTGCAGATGACATCACCGTTCTAACAGAAGGTTCTTCCATTCATGATTTAAATGTGAAACTTAACCTTGTTGCTCAAGATCTCTCAACATGGACTCAACAAAACCGAATGGTGACCAATACATTGAAAACCAAGACCATGCTCATTCATTCTCCCCAACAACTTAAGAATACTTCAGACCGTTCTCTATCAGTTACTCTTAATGGCAACATACTTGCACAGGTGAAGCAAGCAAAAGTGTTGGGTTTAACGCTTGACGAGTTTTTAATTTGGACCAAGCATATTGACAACTTGTGTGCAACAATCAATAGTAGACTTGCTTTATTACGCAGGATTAAACCCTTTTTAACTAAGGACTGTGCTCTTCGTTTCCATAACTCCTGTATTAATTCAAGTCTTATCTACTGTTCTGTAACTTGGGGAAACTGCTCAAAAACACTTTTACTTCGCATTCTTCGACTGCAAAAGCGTGCAGCACGTATTATTCTAGACGCTGACTTTTCTACTCCTTCTGTTCTTCTTTTTTCCCAGATTCGAATAATCCCAATTTTTGATATTGTTAAATTTAGGAAGCTTCTCTTACTAATTAACATTCTCACAAATCCCAGTGCTCCATCTTCATTTAAGCAAATGTTTAAATTCTTATCTTCTATTCGACAACGGGCTCTGACTAGAGCTTGCGCATATGACCTTCAACCCCCCTTCCCGCGTACTGACTCTGGTAAACAAACATTTCTGTACAGTGCTTCCATTCTTTTTAATTGCTTAGATAGTGATTGTAAGCAACTTGCTGCTTCGCCATCTTGCTCTTCATATACTAACGCCAAACAAAAAATTCGTAAAATCTTTCTTAACAAGCTTACCCTTACTAACCATATCGAAGATCTATTTAGTACAAATTGTAAATATTTACTAAATTGTAATTGTATTCATTACTAATTATTTTTTTCTCAAATGTAAATAGTCGTAATCCTTAAAGTGCATATGTCACAATTACCATTTTTTCCTCAAAAATCGGCCGTGGCAAGAAAATTCGAATGATATATGTCTTATCTGCAACGGATAAATACTTCTAGAGATATTTTAGCTCAAACATGCCAAAAAATAGAGTTTTTAAAACGTGGCCGGGAGAAAAGAGTCTGAGTACGAATCGCCGCTGTGACGTCAAAGAAGTAACCAAAATATTTCATGACATGTGTTTATAGCAGTCTATAGTAAAACAACATGCCTTCTCGCTGCGTCGTATACGGCTGTTCCAACCTCCCAGACCCCGAGAAAGGTATTAGTCTTCATAAGATACCGTTCTATAACGATTCAAGACCGGAGGCTATAAAAAGACGAAAGGTCTGGGTAGATTTTGTGAAGAGCAAACGTGCGAAGTGGGAGCCAGGCAGTGGAAGCCATGTATGCTCTAAGCATTTTAAAGCGGACGCTTTTGACAAAATATTGAATTTGCCCGGACAAGCGAATACGTTTCGACAAAAGCTAAGAAAGGATGACCTAGGAATTGTATCGTTTCCATCTATATTTCGTACGGATGCGACGGAAAAACAAGTTTCAGGCAGAGCAGCCAGAGCAATCAAACGCAAGGTGAGTAAATAATAGACCCATTTATCAATGAACTCTTTGTTTATATTTTTACTTCACGCCCTTCAATAACTTATTCTCTTATAATATTTTCAGTATGCATCTGGGAATGAACCAATCAGCCCTCAAGAACCAGGATGTTCATCGGATTATGTTGAACCTGAAGCAGAAATGGACTTAGCTATAGAAATACCGAATATCAATATCGAGCGTTATGTAAGTAGCAAATTAGCATTATTTCGCGTCGTGGTCACTTCAATATGTATATTCACGTTGAAGACTACAATATTTGACTATTTATAATAAAAGTGCACTGTTTTAAACTAAGGTGTTACAAAATATTTTATCTGTATATTTCTAATTTTTTAAAACTATATTAGGATATAGAGCAGCCGGATCGAGAGAAATTCACACAAACAGACATTCCAATGGCTGGTACGGATTGCAATTACTGTCTGGAATTACAAGAGAGGAACCGAATTCTTCGCAATCAAGTCATAGACTTAAAACAAAGACTAGCTAAAGAGAAGTCCATTGTGAAAGATTTACAATCCAGTAAGTAGTGTTATTTTGTGTATACTGTGAAAATTTATACCATATTTTATATGACCGACCTCAGTTGTAAAATTATTTCAGAGCTGTTGAGCAAGTATTTGCAATACGAATACACATTTAATAGGAAGTATATTATCGCACTATTTCTGTAATAGCTAGTTGTTGAACTATTACAAACAAGGACAGAGATTAGTTAGCTTATTATCAAATTGAAAACATAAGCCTCAGTTGCCCAATATAAGCATATTTTTATGGGTATCATATGATTTCATGATTTTATATATAATTTTATCTTGTATTTTTCAATCAGACCTTCAAATTCCTGTGGAAACTGTGCCATCTAGTGACACCGAAGCAGCCATATCATCCGAAGATATTAGCAGTATGGCTAGTGAACAAAGTGAAGAAGGTGGTGTGTCAACTGATCCAAACACTGAATCAGATGATGCAATTCAATGGGATGATTTAACAGAGACAGAGGACTCAGATGAAAGTGATAATGATGAACAAAGGAGGTAAAATTAGTCAAGTATTTAAGATGCCAACCACATGTGGATACTGTAAATATTTAGTATCATTAATGATTGGTTAATCAACACAAGTGTATTTATAAATTTCAGAGAATATACAAAGGATAACAACCTGAGGACAGAACCAAAGTGCATCGTGTTTCTGTTGCAGCTGGATGCTCCTTTTTCAGTTTTGTCCATCCTGCAAAAGTGCCAATCCTCTAGTTGAGACTAGCCAACATGGGACAAAGCTTATTGTGTATACTCACTGTGGTAATCCCAACTGTAAGCAAAGTGATTCTGTGTGGCGCAGTCAACCTAACATGGAGGGTACCAAAATTGCAGCAGGGAACTTTCTG